TGCTACAGTGTTGCTACAGTGTCTGCTACAGTGTCGTCTTCTTCGGCAGAACTCCGGTCTACAGTGCCGTCTTCTCCGGCGGAACTCCGGTCTACAGTGTCGTCTTCTCCGGCGGAACTGGTTTTTCCGGTCACTATTCCGGCAAACCTTTGACCGGCGATTTGGACGTCTTCCGGTGGTCAAAAAATTCAGAAAAAATATTTTCGGAATCTTCGGAACGAGACCTTTCCAACGGTATACACCAAAATCGTTTTTGACGAAAAAAAATTTCGACAAAAAACTTAAAATCACCTTCTGGAGCTACAACCTTGCTCTGATACCACTTGTTAGGATCGAGACACTTAACACACGACTCTAAACACACACACAGCTCACGAAAAACAAGAACACAAGGATGAACACGAGGGATTTAACGTGGTTCGGTCCTTCTCTGACCTACGTCCACCGGTAACTAGGAGTTTATATTTCTTGGTGCTAATCTGCACTCTTTCTTTGTTACACTAGATACAAGTTTTACAAATGAAAGGAAGAAGCCTATTTATAATATTTTGAGTCGTAAGTTTTTTCTTCCATTCACATACATGTGAAATTGATAAGGCCACCATTGTTGAAATTCTGCAGCCGTAACAATTTTTCCATGTTCACATGAGAGTCCTTGTTTCCTGCCACTTCTTTTGACTAACCCAATGGCTTCACACTCAACAATCTCCCACTTGAAGCCACGAAACAATCTTCACCATTGATTCAACTGTGTATATGTATTTCTGTAAAAACTTCTGATCTTGACTCCTTCCTAGTTACCCTGGCCTTCTCTTCAATTAACCTGAAGGCCAGTTGAAGCTTTCGTTAGCTCCAACACATCAGTCATGGCTAAGTCTGCCACTGACCTGTTCTCTGTCTCCATCGGCTCCCACTGAAATGAACTGCCCGATCCTGGAACATCCTGAGAACAAACGACACTCTCCATATGAAGCAGATAATCTGGAGAGACTTTTACAGATGGAATACTGGTTCTCTTAACCCACTGCGTTCTGGGTATTCTAGCTGAAGCACAACCCTTGCTCCCACTGCTATGAATGCCCTTGACTGGTTTTTCTGAACCGTTCCAAACACGTTCAACCTGAATCTGACCTGTGACTCTGGGTTTGCCATCTGCAAAGCAAACCTTCTTCTGTCCACGATACTCTATGAACCGGATTTTGTTTTTCTTCTGAACTGGGACGGTTACTCCCTCAGACGGTAAACTGACCATATATAATGAACCCCTCTTATGTCCACGAGCTATCACAAGATTTCCTTTGACAACCTTCCACTGCCCATTCCTGAACTTAACCTCGTGTCCCTGTTCATCCAACTGCCCAACAGAAATCAACTGTTTCTTTAGACTTGGAATTACCCGGACATCCTTCAAAGTCCATGGACCAACTGGAGTCTTCAAAACTAAGTCACCTATGCTCGTCACATCAAGAACGTCATCGTTCGCCAGTCTTACCTTACCAAAATCCCCTTCTTTCAGATTCCGCAGTGCTTCACGGCTGTGGGTAGCGTGAAATGAAGCACCCGAATCCATAACCCAGGAATCCACATTGCTCTCCACACTACAGATCAAAACATCATCATCTGAATGGTCTACTGCAACGTTAACTTCTTTCTTGTCTTTTGGACATTGATTCCTGAAATGTCCAACCTCTTTACAGTTCCAACAAGTCACATCATTTCGAGTCCTCGACTGACTCCTTCTCCTGTTCCCGCTCCCACTACCTCTGTTATTTCTTCTACCTCTGACCGCATTCAATTGTTCACTTGATGATTCCCCGGAATTTCTTCGTCTGACGTCTTCGCCTAGAATTAAATCCCGAATTCCCTCAAAAGTGAGCTCTTTTGATCCTGCGGAACTAGTAACGGCTGTAACTGTTCCGGACCAACTGTCAGGTAATGATGATAACAGTAGTAAAGCTTGAACTTCGTCCTCAAATTTTATTCCCACTGACCCAAGTCTGGATAAAATCGAGTTCAAATTGTTGATGTGTACTGTAACTGAACTTCCTTCCCTCATCCTTGTGTTGACTAGTTCCCGAATCAGGAAGACTTTATTTGCTGCCGACGGCTTCTCGTACATATTAGACAATGCCTCCATGATTCCCTTTGCCGAGGTCTCCTTCAAAATGTTGAAGGCAACATCCTTTGACAAAGTCAGTCTAATAAATGTCTTGGCCTTCTTATCCAAAATCTCCCAGTTTGCCTGTGTTATCGCCTCCGGTTTTTCACCTAAAACTGCGTCCAAGTCTTTCTGCACGAGCAAATCTTCAATTTGCATCTTCCACCAACCAAAATCTTTCCCATCAAACTTCTCAATCTGAAGTTTACTGCTTTCTGCCATTTTCTGAAAGATTAGGGGCTAAACTGCAATTTTCTGAAAGTGCAGGGGCTAAACTGCAATTTTCTGAAAGTTCAAATCTGCTACAGTGTTGCTACAGTGTCTGCTACAGTGTCGTCTTCTTCGGCAGAACTCCGGTCTACAGTGCCGTCTTCTCCGGCGGAACTCCGGTCTACAGTGTCGTCTTCTCCGGCGGAACTGGTTTTCCGGTCACTATTCCGGCAAACCTTTGACCGGCGATTTGGACGTCTTCCGGTGGTCAAAAAATTCAGAAAAAATATTTTCGGAATCTTCGGAACGAGACCTTTCCAACGGTATACACCAAAATCGTTTTTGACGAAAAAAATTTCGACAAAAAACTTAAAATCACCTTCTGGAGCTACAACCTTGCTCTGATACCACTTGTTAGGATCGAGACACTTAACACACGACTCTAAACACACACACAGCTCACGAAAAACAAGAACACAAGGATGAACACGAGGGATTTAACGTGGTTCGGTCCTTCTCTGACCTACGTCCACCGGTAACTAGGAGTTTATATTTCTTGGTGCTAATCTGCACTCTTTCTTTGTTACACTAGATACAAGTTTTACAAATGAAAGGAAGAAGCCTATTTATAATATTTTGAGTCGTAAGTTTTTTCTTCCATTCACATACATGTGAAATTGATAAGGCCACCATTGTTGAAATTCTGCAGCCGTAACAATTTTTCCATGTTCACATGAGAGTCCTTGTTTCCTGCCACTTCTTTTGACTAACCCAATGGCTTCACACTCAACAGTCCTATACTACCAGAAAGATCAGAGCTTTTTGATGATGATAAACGGACCCATCCACACTCATTCTGTTATCTACTGAAGTTAATCTTCTTTCATTCTGCTGATATTCTTAGAAAAGAACTAGAGCACGAAACCTTTGTAAGGCTGAGAATCATCCCATCTGGTAATCTTCTCTCTCTCTCTCTCTCTCTCTCTCTCTCTCTCTCTCTCTTCAATTTCATCTACACAGAAACACATACATACACACACAAGTATATGAAAAATGAATAATCCTCCCATAAAAATGGCAGTTTGTTGAGGATTACTCTGAGTGGGAGTCCTGGGTACCGATCGCCTTTAGAATCATTCATGCTAAATTCATCATTTGGGAACCTTCTACAGAATGGATCGGTGCTTGTTGACATCTCATTGGTTGATGAGAAATTTACAGCTCAAGGTACCTGCTATGGCTGTATATAGATATTTCCAAAGCTGTTTGAGTATCATTTTTAGACTACAAGAACTCAATTGATTTTACCTTGTTTCCAGTTTAGTGTGATGCATGAGATCATATATTTATAGAGTGTTTGTGGATGTTGTCATGTCTATGTGTGATATTCACTCATTGAGGTGTACAAGTGTTTCAGTTGCATTAGTTTAGTTAACAGAGACACAATAGGTGAAACTGAGGCAGACTTTTGTTTATGTTTCAAACTAGTGGTACCGATATGAAAGTTCTTGCAGAAAGAGCAACAAAGTCCAAGAAACTCAGTATACATGTCTTAATGTATATGGGATTGTAGTTATTATTTATTATCTAAGAGAAGACAAAATCATTATCCTATAGGTTAAAGAGATCATCCACTCAGGGGCCAGGGGCTGCCTACATCTTACTTCTTCCCTTCCATTTACACCATTCATGTGAGATGTAGGTATTGATATTGATATTTATTGATAGAGATAAAATAATTTTTCATAGTAATGGGTAAGATCATATTTATAGTATACTAATTTCACTACTTCTATTATCTTAAATGTGTAGATTTACTCCCCTGCACCTTGTGCACCAAGGCAAAGAAACAGAAGAACGGGAAAGAAAGATGAAGCTAGTTGATTTAATTGTGGCAACACCTGGAAGATTAGTTGATTTACTTGAAAGGGCAAAAGTGTCATTACAAATGGTAAGGTATTTAGCTCTTGATGAAGCTGATCGTATGTTGGATATGGGATTTGAGCCTCAAATAAGAAAAATTGTGGAACAAACAGACATGCCTCCACCTCCTGGAAGACAAACAATGCTTTTCAGTGCCACTTTTCCTAGAGAAATCCAGGTTTTTAATTTTATTTTATTAATTTGAATCATTTTAATATATAGTTTTTTAATTTATATAATGTTTTCCCGCTACTACAATTCATGGAGACAAAACACAACCGGTAAAAAAAAATAGAGTTAAAGTTAAAAAAATGAATAAAAGTTAATTTCTAATTTTTGTTTTTTATTGATAGGAAAGGGAGTTGGCATTGAGGTCATTTAAGAGTCGGAAGACTCCAATTCTTGTTGCTACTGACGTGGCAGCATGTGGGTTGGAGGTGATTGATGTTGGCTCAAGGGCAGTTTGGTCATTACCGTAAGTGGAGTTCGAGATTATAGCATATGTTCATGTCTTATAAAATAAAAATCTCCAATGGTTGTGGAACAATAATTATCTCTTTGGTTCAGGTAAATATCTACAAGATTTGTGCTATGAAAAAAAACATGTTTGTTTGGATCAAGGGGTAAAGTGTAAGTTCTCATCGTTTTTGCAGTTTAGAAATGCTACAAATAAACAACTTCAAAGTGGATTCGATCATATTCCTACCAAATGTTCGATAAAATGTAAGTTCTCATCATTTTTGCAGTTTAGACATAGCTGTGAAGTGGATAGAGTAATGATGGAAGATGTTAACATTTTTTTTCTTGATGTCTGCTTTGTGCCTTGTAAGGATCCAGACATATGAAGTTAAAGGTTAATGATATTTTACTTGTTTGTAATAAAATATCTATTGAGTCGCCGAACAAATTCTTATTTCCATATATGATTGTAAGATGTAGGGATAAGCATAGGCGGGTATCCGGCCTAATTGTCTGGAACCGAAACCGGAACCGCCGGTTCTTGAAACTTTGGAACCGGAACCGGAACCGCCGCACCGGTTCCGATACCGGGTACCCGGTTTCTAATTAAGTTTTGTAAAATGAAATCAATAAAAATTATAAGACTAACAATCTGTTGTGAATTAAAAAGTATTTGTGAGTGGTTATTAATAACCATTATTAATTCATAAGCAACAGATTGATATATATATATATATATATATATATATATATATATATATTATATATATATATATATATATATATATATGTTTAGTACTCTTCTCGTATTCACTTTTTATTCTTGATTTTGGCAGCTATATATGAATTGAAATAGTATGGGAAAGAAATTTAAAAACCATTATGTTGTTATAAAATTAGTAATAATGCATACACTCGGGTCCAACTTCATTGACATTATAAAATTCAGTTATTAACAAACTCTGAATCCACATCACTACACTAGCTTTTCAAAAGCACTGAAGGGTCCTCTGTGCTACTAGAGGACCCTTCTGTCAAAACATTCAAACTGTTGCAGTAGTCTAGATTCCTTCAAAGGGGGGTTTTGAATTGAAATTCTGGTCAAAACTCAAAAGTCAAACAGAGTTATTTGGTGGCAGTGTTGCTAAATCATTCCAGCAATACAAAAGCTTTATAACTTTTGCAGCTGAAGGAAATGCCTTCAAGGACAATGTAGAGAAGCTGGTAAGATTCCTGAATATAATTTTCAAGTTATTACCCCATGAGCTCGTACTCCATTGACTTAACTCCTTAAGTACTATATGTATGTTCATTTAAAGTGATTATTAGTTTATTACAGTTTGCTATTACTAATAAATGTTTTTTTTGTAAGTTACTTCATTCTATAACTCCTCATATCCAACCATTTAAATGCAAAATATGTTACAACTTTAACTCCAATTGTTAGATATCATCAACCGAAGATAATATATTGATTTGAAGACAAAAAACAATTCATGAAAAGGGTTGAATTTGTACATTTAGAATTCTTATTTTTTTCTTGTGGAGCAGGACCTTGTGATTATTAGAAGCAATGAGGATTATTGCGGTTGCATTGTCACCTGCTGCACCAAATTTATTGTCAACATTTGGGCATTAGGAAATCATGGTACCCGTGATTTCTATGTTCCCTGTGTTTTTTCTATTTAGGAAGCAAACACAATTAGTGCTTTACACATAAAGTTGACAAAACGTTTATGCATAGAGTGATTGTATTCAAGTCTATGTTAAAAGGCTGGGGATTACATGTGTTAAGCACCTTTTTCTTCATATGAGTTCAATAACCTACAATAATTTAGAATTCATATCATTAATATAATACTTCCCTATATAGAAAAATTCTTTAATTATCGACCATTATAACGAATGAAATACAGTAAGAAATTTTCCTTAATCGTCTTAAATGACTTGAAGTTTATATGTTAAAGTCTATTTTAATAACTAATCCATCTTTTTTCATCACTTTCAACAAGCTAAGAAGCACAACATATACAGGGAAAGAATCATATATAATTATCAGGTAATATATTTGATATATATTTTATATTTTATATGTTGTATAATCAGCAATCACTGATTTCCCTTTCCTTGGTTTTCAGCCTCTTCATAGAGAACTATATGAACTGAATCCCTCAAGCTTCTTTGTGCCCTCTTTCATAAACGCATTCATGGCTAATGATGATGTCAGCAGAAATCAAAGTATCAGAAACATAATGTCTGAACTTGTTCCAGGAGTTTTCACATTCGATATGCTCCACCCAGATTTCTGTGCAAAGATGCTAGCTGAGGTGATACTAATAGTCTTCTATTTCTATTTTTTATATACTTTACTTTTTATATTCTCTTATCAAATTCTAATTTCTTAGGTTGAAAATTACGAAAAGTGGATTCTGGAAACAAAATCATCCACCATTCGCCTAAACACCATGAACAAATAGCAGATACTAACAAATGACATGGTGCTAATAGTCTAGAAGTTGTTGTTGTTCGTGTCATGGCCCTGTGATGGGTACTGTTGAAACCAGAATGTATGAACAAGGAATAGGAGGTTTTGTAACACACAAGTTTTGGGAATGTGGGCCACACAACAATGATTTTACCTTGTCTATTGTTATATATGTGCCCCATAGGTTGTTTTTTTGCTGTTTATAAAATCTTTTTATTTAATATGTATATAGATTTTTTTTCGTGTATAACATTTTTTGAACATGTGATGGTTACAGGGATGCTGTAGTTTCTGCTATTATTTTCCATCCAAGTCGTGTCATGGCTCTTAGTGCTTCTTATGGTGTTGATTTCAAGTAAAGTTTTTTAATTTATTTTATAATTGTGAATCTATGTTTGTATAATTAATTGTTGTTTGTGGCTTTGTTTGTTTGGGTTAGCAATGGTGAAGATAAGTTGATGTAGAGGAGCAGATGTAGATGGGCATGAAATGATGTTGGTTCATACAGGAAGAAAGTTATGACTGCTGTTGCATTAAGTGAAACAGGTAGGCACGTTACACAAATCTCAAGTAACTAAAGGTAACCACCAACTACATTATTCATTTTGTTGCTAGATCCAAATACCAAATTTACAAATGTATATCTGTTGTTGCTTCTTAAATTTCACTTTATGTTTTATGCGTTCAAGCTTTAAAATCCAAATGGAACATTGTTAAAAAGGATGCAACTCAAGATAATTGAAGGTAATTGAGTTAACTGGGATAAATGCAAAAAATAGCGGGGTACTTTCATTTATTTGTTTATTATAACATCCTACTTTCAATAGTTTTTTTATGAAGAGATCATACTTTGAAAAACCTACAAAATTATAATATTGTAACTAATGAACTAATGATACGAACAAATATATGAACTAATATTGGAGTTCCTGCTGTTGGCATGGCGTTCCCTGGCTACGTTACTCAGCCCAATGGAATGGGGAATTCAGAAATGACATGGTACGTTAAATATATATAAGTAAATAAATATTTAAGATAATAATAGTTAGGTGATTAAATGGTTAAAATTGTGAAATTTTGTTGTAGGCTACCTATTTTGGCTGGTGCTGCTGGGGCTTTTGGCTGCTTCACCTTATATCACAATGGATGGTGCTTATCATGCTATGCCATCTGGCCAGACCTCTGCATTGCCTCCTACAAGGTCTGTTACTTGTTATTATGATTAACGATTCTGAGGGTATTTAGGTCATTTACTCAGAATTTTGCGTTTTCAAGTTTACTAGTAGATCACACTTGCTTGGCTAAATGTTATTTTGTATGCTTTCAAACTTGTCTTCTTCCTGAATTCTTTTTCTTTGTAAGTTTAGCCTTATTCTTTTCTTCAATTAAGTGTTGTCTGGAGAGTGTTGTATGAACAACAATAAATCAACATTTTTTTCATTCTTTTTCTTGTATGAACAATACATAGTCATAGTTTGACTTAATTAGTTGCTTATTTTGTTTATTAGTTGCTTGTTTTCTAGCTTATTATAGTCACTGATTGGTTTCTTGTTATGCTTAAATCTTAACAGCTATCATGGCAACCTTCAACAGTAGTTTTGGACAGGCACCTTCTTGCAAAAGATATCGTGTACATGTTCTTCTGCTGCTATTGTGGATTCGGGAACATCCATGCTTACTGGTCCAACTGTATGTATCTCACGTGAAGCTTCTGCTAGAATTATTAATCTTAGAGATTTCAAGTTTTTCATATTTCTTGTATCTAATTAGTTTGTAAATTTCCGTTATAACTTTTATTGATTTGTTTTATCTTTCCATGGAACGATTATTTGTATGACATTATATTTTGTGCAATGAATTGTATTTTTGTATATGATATTTTATTTATTAAGTGACATTAAATGAAAATTTAATTCAAAAATTAGTAAATCTAGAAAAAATATTTTTTTTAAAACATATAAAATTACGATACGCAAAAATGTGTGTCATCTTCATTTATGACATGGCCTTTCTTGACAGGGGCTTCCTTGATACGCAATGCGTGTCATAAACACGCGCGTCGTAAGGTTACGACCTGCAAATGCGTGTCATCTTCCTTTGTGACAGGGCCTTCCTTGATACGCATTGCGCGTCGTAAATGAGCGTCGTAAATGCGCGTCATAAATGCGCGTCGTAAATGCGCGTCGTCTATAGACGACGCGCAAAAACGCGTCATCTCTCTTTATGACAGGGCCTTCCTTGACGCGCATTTGCGCGTCGTCTGAGCGTTTTACGACGCGCAATGAGCGTCGTAAAAGGCTGTTTTTCTAGTAGTGCAAGACAAAGAAATTTTGAGATAAAAACCAAAACTAAAAGAAAACTTAGCACACAATATTTTTTGGATTTTTCATATTTTCAAAAAAAAAAACATAAACAAAAATATTTTTGGATTTTTGAAATTTCTGAAAAAGAAATAAAACAGAAATAACAATGTTAAACCACAATTCTAGATACATATTATTTAGTGTATCCCATAGATTCCCATGTATATCTTACTGCTCAATCTACTCGAGCGTCATATTGACAGACCAAACGGAACTATCTAAGTCAGTACTTGTCAAGTCCTTTTAAAATGTCAATCTAAATCTAGTCTGGTCCATTGAAATCCTTCGTGCCTACCAGCACATTGAACACAGAGTCTAAACAATTTAGCTTCAGTGCTTTACACAAATTTCAGATTGCCCTTCAGCACTAGACTTCATATCACTTCCCAATAATACCTACTAACGAAAAACTAAAAGAAAATAAAAGATTGTCTTCAAAACGAATCAGTTTAAGGTAAACTCAAGAGTATCGAGAGGAAAACTCAAACCGTAAGTCACCGATTGAATTTGCATCCAGAAGGTCCGAGAACAGCACACATAATCTCAGAACAGATCCAAACAATCTTCACATTGTTAAGCACAAAACCCTATGTGTGATCCTTTCCTTTCTTCCCTTCTCGCAGAGCACACATACTATTAAACAAAGTTTTGAATGTTGTATAGTTGAGAGATGTCCCCTATCATGTGCCTGGAACAGCCACTACCAACAAACTGAAGTCTGATGATATGACTCCATAGCTGCTCCATCACAGAGCGAGATCAGTTGGTCTTTGGAACCCAGTCCATTTTGAAACTGGGTCGACCTTTTTCATCCTTGCAAGGTACTCTCTCCCATGACATATCCTGCTTATCACAAACAGAAAATGTAGAAATATTAGAATCATTAGAAGATTTGGGTGATTGAACCTTTGGTACCCATCTGTAGTTGGGTTTAACCCATTTCTTGTTCGATCAGATGGGCGGCTCGACACTTGATTTTGAACCTAAAATCGGTCGCCGAGATAACTTTGATCTAACTGATTTTGGTTTTACTGGAGCATCTTTTGGATTCGACATATTGGCCTTCTGCTCGTTCCAGTCACCATTGGGCAATTGTGACTTTGAAGGGGCTCTTTTGGAAAAGTTCCCTCTTTGAGCATTTTGCCATCCTTATGTGTAATAGGGAACGTATGCACGATTTTGACAATTTCTGGAAATGTGTCCAGGTGTTCCACAATGAAAACGTGTCTTTTTCTTCATGTAGGAATTGTTTCTTCCTGCCCCTGGTGGTGTGCCCTTGCCTTGTCTCTGATTGTTCCCACAAGCACACTTGCAACAGGCACTCTATTTAGTTTGAATTGGTGGCCTGTATTTACCAACAACAGGTTTAGAAGTAACTGAGTTAGAAGCAACAGATTCAGAGTTCAAGGAGTCATTGGTTTCTTCAATAGTGTTGTCCTTATTCTCATCTTCAATTACTTTACCTGTACAAGAAGTAGAATCATCAAAAATGTTCACCTTAATATTCTCAGTTGACCCAGATTGTTCAGTATTAACTGAACCTTGTTCGGGGAGTGGGCCAAACTGAACATAAATTTCTTCCTCATTGGTCTCAAGGGGTGGGTTATAGTTGTCATTGAAGGGAGGTGGAACACTATTATACCCTAGACCCTTACTTTGATTATCTTTGAACTTTAGTTGTTTTTCAATCATGGATGCAACTACCTCACTTAACACGTCAAATTTCTTAAACGTGAATTCATCATCATTATATTTAGATTTCAATGCATCAAGTTCGGTAGTGAATTTGGCAAGATGTCTCTTAAAATAGTCATAGTTTTCACATTTGTTGCTATATTCCTCTTGAAGTTTTCTAAAATCCTTAGTTTTAGCCTCCAGTTGTGTTCTTAAGGGTTTTGGGGCCTTCCTAAGAGTATATCCTTCATATTTAAGGTCCTCATTTTCTCTTTTTAGTAAATCGTTTTGTTCACGAAGAAATTTAATCGTAGCTTCATACGATTGAGAACATGAAACTTGATTGACCGGGAATGTTTGAAGAACTCATTGTTTACCAAAAATACCCTTTGACTAAAAACTCAAAAGTCAACCTTAAAAATTCAAATTTAAAAGTCAAACTTAGAGTCAAACCGAAAAGCTAAAAGTAAAAATTTGAAGGTTAAACGAAAAAGTCAAAGTTTAAAGTCAAAGGTCAAACTTGAAAGTCAAAGTCAAAAGTCAAAAATTAAAAACCAAAATTTTGGGTTGAAAATGGAATTTTAAAATTCAAAAAATTGAATTTTTGGGCCAAAAATGTCAAAATTGCGAAATTATGGTCGAGCAGCAGCGAGTCTTTTTGAATTAAATCGGGAAGGAGTTAAGCATGTGGCATCCTAGATGAGTTGGTAAGGCGGCTGGCTGACCGCAAACGAGGTTGGACCGAATACGTGTTGAACATGAACCGAACACGTGCGTGGCCGAAAACGTCCGAAGTCGGCCGTAAAAGCTGCTTCGGTTCGGCCGTGAATGCTTCTTCTGACCGCAAACTCTTCGCAAATTACGGAAAAACGGCGTTTTTCACCCCTTTTAAGCCCAAAACTCGATCAAAAACTTGTTTTTATGAAAAACTTGAAGAACAAACCCCCAATATTTC